TGGATTATGATGATTATATATTGATGAAATATTGATATAGTTGCCAAAGAATGAAATTTGAAATGATTTGAGAAGGTATGAATGATATGAGATTAAATGAGTATAAATGAACTATTTGTGAAAATGGGCATTTTTCTCATGCATGAATTATGTGGATACATAAATGAATATTTGTGTATTGAGAATGAATGTTTAAGTTGCTGCTACATAATTATAAATATGTAGAGAATTACAAATAACAAGGATAATGGTTTGATAACAATAATCTTAATAGTATTGAAATACTAGTTAATGATTATTGGGATTTATTGATTAAGTTGATCCTAGGGATTGGATTGTATGAAAGGTGCTTGAATATAGTTCAAGTGTATATAATAACTTAGTATGGAACTAAGGTTAAGTTATGGGAAGTCTTTAAGGATGACCCATGGTAGTTTAATGATATGTCAATTCTAGGCATAGGGTTGCTTGAGAATTGGACCTTAATGCATGGTGATGTGGTAGAGCCGAGCTCTAGAATGCATGTAAGGTGTAGACTTGGAGTCTATGTATTGTATAGCTAGAGCCGAGCTCTAGGACTTGCGTGGTGATGTGGTAGAGCCGAGCTCTAGAACGCAAGGTAAGGAAATTGACCCGAGGTATATGAATTGTATGGTGATGTGGTAGAGCCGAGCTCTAGAATACAATGTCATGTACTAGGGTTGGACTCTAGGAGTTGTCGTGGCTTATAGCCACGGGGTTGGGAATGGTGATTTCCAAATGAAAACGGGCCCACGGGCCGACTACTTGACTTTTATATAAAGTGAGTATATTTTTAAACGGGGTAACTTAGGGTTACAATCATAATGTACTATCACCCTATTTGAGGGTCTTGTGTTTGAAATACTTGTTGTATATCTATTAGATGCCTGCCACACCAGTACTTTATAGCCGTATAGAGTACTGACCCCTTCGGGGGCGTCCCACCACCATTTCAGGTTGAGGCTTGAGCTTGCATCCTGCACTTGTTGATCGGGTGAATCCGTGGAGAGAAGACTTGGTTCGTGCTTCCTCCATTCTATTTGAAACATTGACAAATTTGCCCATGGATATTTTACTTTAGAGCCTGCGTGCTCATGTTTGCCCTGTGTGGCCCTTTTGTTTTAAACAATGTTTTCCGCTGCGTATTCAATTGTTTATTATGTATGTTTATGGATGACTTATGTGTGAATGATATTCATGACGCCTTATATAATATGAATGTGTTGGACTGCGGTTGACTATTCGTATTGTACGGCGGGTTGTTGACGTGTCCGGGGAGGTCCGGGGCGTGACACCTCTCCCCCGCGTAGTCCAAGATGACGCTGATGGGATGTGTCAGAGGGGTGCGTGGGTGCTCTAGGAGGGTAGGCTGTGCCCACGCCATCGGATTGTTCTTGTAGTCGCCTCCGGGTCTGGTTTGGCCATTCCGGGGGCGGTCGTTGTATTGTGCCTCGCGGTTTGCCGGAGAGGGTGGTCCCCCGGGGCGGTTTCTGCCATCGCTTTTGTGTGAAGGTTCCGGGTTGCGATGATCTTTTTCGATGTCCTCGGCCTCGACATATCGGTCCCCCCGCTGAAGAGCTTTGGTGTAATCCCGGGGGGATCGGTAATAAGGCTCCTGGAGAAATTACCGTTACGGAGGACAGTGTGGAATAGGGCCATCAGCGTTCTATCGTCGGCGCCATCAACTTCGATGGAGGCCTGCCTCCAGCGTTCTAGGAAACTCCGAAGGGTTTCCTCCTTCTGTTGCCTTACGTTAAGAAGGTGGGAGAAATGCTTCTTCGACCGGTGTCTCCCGACGAATTGTGTTAAGAAACGATGGGCAAGTTCTTGCCACGAATCAATGCTGCCTTCGAGCAACCGGTTGACCCATTCATACGATGGGCCTTCCAAGGTGGAAAGGAACCAACGGCACAAATATTCATCCGATGCCCCCATCATCATCATACTATTTTGGTACCTGCTGTAATGTTCTTGGGAATTTGTTTTCCCCTCATATGGTTTGATGGGTTGTCCCTGATACTTATCGGGGATCTGAGCCGCCAACACCCTTGGCGTGAAGGGCGTCTTTGTGCGGAGCTGGATGATGGGTTCACCTGAGCCTTCGGCGAACTTTCACTTCATTTCCTCCATTTGTGCTAGTATAGCGGCGTACTTTGGATCTGCCTCCAAAGTCGAAGCGGGGGGCGTTTGGTGTGCCTCCTTCTTCTCTAGCTGACGTCGGAGGGGCTCAATGATCTCATCTTTGTGATCCCCCGGGGCAGCCCCTTGGGATTTCGCCCTGAATGATTGAGCGTGATTGACCTGGTGTCTGGCGTCATCTGCGTGGAGGAGGTCTTTTCCTTTGTCCCGAGGGGGAGGTCTCTCCTCGGCACCCGAGATAAAGCCCCCACTTTCTTGTGGCCTGCTGATCGCCTTCCCTCCGAGGCGGTCTTAGACCCCTCGGCGCTCCGGAGCTCCCCCCAGCCTCTCGAGGGCGGAGGTTCGGGGTTTCTCCTTTAAACGCCGCTTGTCTCGCGATAGGACCTCTTAGGAGGCGGTGTCCTGTGCCGCAACCCCCTCGGCATTACCGATCTGTATGATGGGATTGTTGAATGGAGGAGGTGGCGGGAAATGGATGGCGTTTCCCCCGAAATAAGGTTGGAGGGGTGCCGGTGAAATGAAGGCACCAGAGTTCACTGCCATGTTTTGGACGAAGGCCGCAAAAGCGGCCTGAAGGTCGATGGCCGGAACCAAAGGTGGAACTTGGTTCTCACTTCGGTCCTTCCTTCGATTATCAAGACCGATTTGGGCATCGGGGGCAGCCTTTTGGAGCTGCTGACGGAGGTCAGCGGTGGCTTGCTCCATTTCGACAATTGTGCCAACCTCAGGAATCCGGTTGGAGGCCTCAGCCCCATTGGCTTCGCCGAGGGCTACGTGTTTTTCCTCAAGGGTTTTGGATTGACCACGAGTTCTTCCCATTTTGGTAGGTGTTTTGTGTTTGGTGAAGGGGAGGGTTTCTTACTTGATTGTTCGGACCTCTCAATGAAAGCACCAAATGATGGATAGTGTACCCGGGAGGTAGCTTATCCGAGGGGTTATTGCGGAGAATAACTAGAGAGAAGTTAGAGCAAACAAGTAAGAGAGAGAGTCAAATGTATTAAATGAACCCAGGGTGCTTTACAAGGAGAGTAAGGGGTGCTATTTATAGCAGCCATAAATGCGATGAGAGTACACGTGTCAATAATCTGACGGTCGAGGGGTCACCTCAATCGGGGGTGGCACCGACACTCGCATGTGCACCGCATTGAATGCGGTGGTTGCTTGTCTCCAAAGGGAATCTTCGATGATTGAGCTGTTAGCCGAAGGCTCTCCCTGTGGCCGAGGGCTATGTGTAGCCGAAGGCTGCCCTTATGCCGAGGGCGTGTATGAGCCGAAGGCTCTCGATTTTCGCCGTCTTCTCCCAACAACTTTGTATGCCTAAAATCAGCCGTTTCCTGAAGTTTGGAGCCTTCGGCCATGGTGCCGAAGGCCTCCCCAGGCGCACCGCGGGTTCCTTTGAGCTTGGGCCGCGGTGCTTTGGGCCTCATGCGCTTCTTGGGCCTGTTGGGCCTGTGCTGAAGTAGCAGGAGTTTGTGGGCCGGGGTTCCATGGGCCATATACTCCATCAATTACAACACAATGCAATGCAAAAACCATAATAAGGCACAACTTCAGTCATTAATAAACATATACATGTACACAATCGTTCATACCAACCATTATGCTACTCAAATATAGTGTCATAACTCAACTAATAAAAAAAGAGGAACAATGACACATAGAGAAAAACAACCGGAAAATAGCATACAATCCAACTAACCTCGTCGTAACCTACAACCCTACCAACTTACCTGTATGATTTGCGTTCGAAACGAAGAAACACCAAGAACTTCAGGTTGCACTTGCGATTCGCGAACACCTCGCAGCCATACTTCAGCGTTTGGGAAAAAGAAGAAAGATAATGAAGACTGGTTTTCAAATTAGGGAAAACAATTGTTAGGTTATGGCTGACGAGGACAAAGGCTTTAATTTTTTTAAAAAATAATAATTTAGTTTTCCCATTTATGCCACGTAACAAGCCATGTCACTCGGTAACTGGCTAACCGGCAAACGACAGGCTAAAAAGTTTATTTGACCGTTATTTGAAACAATGTGAACCCAATTGACTGAATTTTTTCTACATGGACTCAATTGACTTTTCACCCATAGTAGGTGGACCTATTGGAGAAAGCATGAAGTTTCTGGTGGTCGACATCGTGCTGTCGGACCAGAAGATCAAATTTCAGGAATTCATTGATGACCTACGTGTGAAAGAAGAAGAAATGATGTTGATCCGCCCCCCTTCGGAACCGCCGCCATGGAGGAATTGTGCGACTAGGAATTGTGTTTTGTTTTTTATTTTATTTTGATTGTGTTTTGTTGTTTATTTATTTTATGATGTTTTGCACTTGGATTGGGGGATGAGAGGCATGCGGTAATCGTTGTTTTGATTATGCCCAAGTTAGGACTAGTGAGTTATATTGCTTTGTCAAAGATGGACAGTTACATACGATTCTAAGGATGGACAGTTACATACGATTCTTTTGTTATTTCAAACCATATCTGATTGTTTTTTTTATTAATGTAAGGGAGTGTTTGTAATTGCTTCAACTTTAAAGAAGTGATTTTTTAAAGTGATTTTGGGAAAAGTGACTAATAGTAAAAGTTGGTAGTGTTTGAAGAAAAAGTGATTCTGAAAAAGTAAAAGTTGGTAGTGTTTGGTAAAAGAAGTACCTTTTGTGTAATAGAAAAAGTGAAAAGAAGTTTAAAGCACCCTTCCACCTGCTTCCAGCTTTTAGCTTTTAAGTGATTAATTTAAGCAGAAGCTGTCATTTGAAAACACTCTTTTTAACTTTTTTAAGCCAAAAGCTAAAAAGCACTTTTTTTAATCAAATGCAAACACTCTCTGCCCCCTTCCATATAGAGATGCTCTAAGCTCCATTGCTCCCTACTTGTTGGTATCATCCATCGTTTGTGTAAAGTGTAATTGTGTATAGGGGGAGATACCGACCGACACTGGAGTACAACCAGAGAGGAGAGGAGTCTCGAGAAGCAAACGCAACAACAAATGAGGCCTAAGATAGTGCTCTTCGGGGACTCCATCACTCAGCAATCGTTCACATCAGGTGGATGGGGTTCTTCCCTCGCTCACCAATATTCTCGAAAGGTCTTTTCTCTTCCCATTTCCCTTCTTTCATCATCCTGATGAATTCATTTTCGACATAAACAATGTTCTTTAGTGTCTACCCAAGTCCAATATAGGTCTACCCAAAAACAATACCAATAGAAAAAGTATAATCCGATGAAGGTTTAAAAACGACTATCATCATAGCATGTGTTATTTGTTCGTCATATTTGTGTTTATTCTTGAATCTATAGGCTGATATCCTGAATCGCGGATATGGTGGATATAACACTAGATGGGCTTTGTTCTTGCTGCATCACCTCTTCCCTCTGGTAATTATTATTATTATACTCATCACCCTCTCCCACTTATAATTTTTTCTATTTTTTTTTCTTTCTTAAATGTTTGATAGATTTGTGAAACCTCTGTACTGTACATTTGATAAATTAGGTTGCTGAAGACTTTCTCAGCACTTTGATCATCTCAAATTTGGCTTCTTTTCATTTCCTTGTCACTTTTCTTCTTTATATGTAGACCTACATTATATACATAAAACATTTTTCTCACCAGGCCTGCCTCAAAAAGTACCGTCAGCCCAGCTTCATATTTGGGCAAATGAACTCACTTCAAAGAGAACCTTCAACCATTACATAAGTCTAAGATGTAAAAAAGTGAGTTTGTAAGGTCTAACTTTGAATTAATTTTAAATCTAACAATTCAAACTAATAATTAGTACTAATGAGTAAAAATAATTCGATCACTAAATTCATTTTGGCCAAAAATGAAGTTGACAAGTTAACTTGACGAGAATCCTTATCAGAGCACTCATACACACACACACACTTCAAATGAAAATGGGTCTTCCCATGAAAAATAAGAATAAATCCAAGCTTTTATCTCAAAAAACAAATGGGTCAATCATTACTCATTAAGAAAACACGGTTAAATAATTGTAAACAAATAAATATCAAACGTGAAATGGTTAGTATTTAAAGTGCATTGTTTTAGAATATGAGTGCATTTTGTGTTTATACAAATGACCTGATATTCCTGCACATTTTTGTACAACTATTGATGCAAAGATGAAAAAGATGCACATTTGAATGAAAAGATGCACTTTTATTTCCATCATTTGCAATGGAGCCAAAGATTCATTATTTTTTGGCTTGAGAATATGATGGAATAAAGAAAAATGGCTCACCTAACTGTCTGCGCTTCTTTGTTATGAAGCAGCGGTCAGTCCATGCAATTTTGGTCACAATTTTCACTATGGGTCATCGGAAAACAGTCTCTCCCTGTTTTAGTACAGGGGTAAGACTGCGTACATCCGACCCCCCTTACCCCACCGTAGGTGGGAGCCTTTGTGGCACTGGGGTAAATGATGATTGATATTGATGCAAAGATGCACATTTGAATGAAAAGATGCACTTTTTGAATGCAAACATGCGCTTTTTTTCTAGTGTGTTAAGTAATTAAAAGTTTTACATATTTAACACAATGCCACCACTTCTTGGCTTAAAAATTGCTCTTGTTTATTGACTTTATCAAATCAAAGACCAAAATTAGCTCTTATTTTTCACCTATAAGTAACTTTTTGTTTGAACCAAACTCTATATAATATATATAGATATGCAAACACACACACATGTATATTGATATATTTACACATTCATACATACATATATATGGGGAGGGTTCTAGTGAGAACCCCCTTTAAAATGAGAACCCATTTATATATGAGAACTTCTAATCTACATCATTGATTTATGAAATCAAGGGTTTGCATTAACAAGGTGGCAATTTTGTAATAATTCTACTATAATTACAAACAAGACCCCATTTAAATTTTCATTAATTACATAAAGTACCCCATGTGCATCCTACCAATGATTGGATTAAATAAAAGGTTGGGATTAAAAGTTCTTATTATAACAAGTTCTCATTCTAAGATGAATTCTCATTAGAACCTTCCCCCATATATATATATATATGTATGTATGTATACTCCCTCCGTATTTGAAAGTTTGTTGCACTTCCCTTTTTGGGATGTATTTAAAAGTTTGCTACACTTTTTCCTTTTGGTAAATTTTACCTTTAAAAATACTCAATTATCCTTACTTTTTCTATTTTTATCTCCTCTTTCATACTCTTACACCCTCTATTCTACTTTTTCTACACTATTTATTGCCCCTACTACTTTCTTCCTTAATAATGTGTCAAAGCCTATTGTAGCCATCTTAAAAATACGAAGGAGGGAGTATATATATAGCGCTATTATTTGAATAGCACTACATATATTATATATTGTGTTATTCAAATAAAAGAGACTCCATTTTAGCCAAAAGATAATTTAATGGGCTAGACTTTCTCTCTCTCTCATGAACTATTAATTTTAACCATTTGATCATCTCACAAATTCATTTTTACGAAAGATAGACACCATTTTCTTACTTTTTTGCTTTTAGTCTTACTCTAAACGGTTAAGATAAATTCATCACAAAAGGCATCTGTCTTCGTTAAAATTTAATTTTCTAATATGATCAAATGGTTAAAGTTAATAATTTACAAAAGTGAGGAAGTAATCTAGACCATTAAATTTTAGTTTGGCAAAGTAGAGTGCGTTAGATGAGAATTCTATCAAGATGGGTCTGATATGTTCTGTACATATATACTTTGGTTTAAAAAAATATTTTCCTTGAAAAATGAGAACGCTTTTCAATGATTCATATTTATGCAATGGATGGTTAGATGATATGGTGATTGACGTGCATTTAGCTATTCAATGAGCTACAATGTCATGTGATATAGTCCACCTTCATTCCCTGGACCTCATTTGTTTGGTCCATTGGAAAATCAATGTACCATACAAATCCTCATTATTCATATTAATTGGTCTTCTCAATTGAACCAACTCGTCCCTATGTCATGTTTTCTTCATTTGCAATGGAGCCAAAGACTCGCTAGTTTTTGGCTCGAGAATATGATGGAATAAAGCAAAATGGCTCTTCTGCGCTTCTTTGTTATGAAGCAACAATCAGTCTATGTAATTTTCAACGCGGTCTTCTCTATGGGTCATCCGGAAACAGTCTCTCTGTGCTTTAGTACAGGGGTAAGACTGCGTACATCTGACCCCCCTTACCCCACTCTAGTGTGGGAGCCTTTGCGGCACTGGGGTGATGATGATGATGTATATATAACTATTTTGTATACATATGTATGTATATATAGAGAGAGAGAGGAGAGAGGTTGAGTTTCTCACCTTCAAAAATTAACTTACGGTCAATATTAATTCATCATTAACGATAGAGTTCACTTTGGCGATATTCATTTTTTACATGATCTAACCGTTACAATTGGTATTTGATGCCAACTAGTGAAAAAATCTGTTTGTTTTTGACAAAATAGAAGTGCATCAGAATTTCCGTCCAGCAAGCTTGACTTGAATGTTCTTACACACACATATATATATACATCGGGTTTGTTTCTTTAATGCTAAGTACATTGTGATGCTTGAAATAATAGCAATAAAAAGTTCATGATTAATATTTGAGAATATCTATTTTACAATTCTTTTTTTAGCACTGTCTGGCCCCTCACCCTTTGCTGGTAGCCTAAAGCTCTTCGGAACAATTTGGGGCTAATCTGGCAGCATGCTTTTGGCTACTGTGCTACTTTGATGTGCTATGAAATGTATTTGTATTTGTATTATCTTGGGATCTAAGGGGTTGTTAGGCTTGTAGGAGGAATCTATAAGCCATCCTGCTGTCATCACTATTTTCTTTGGGGCAAATGACTCGGCACTTTTAGGAAGGACAAGCGAAAAGCAGCACGTGCCTCTTAAGGAATACAAAGAAAATCTAAAAACAATGGTTCAACATCTTAAGGTTATAACCCCTGTACTTTTAATGAAGTTATTTTAATATATATGTACCTTCCTGCTTTTTTATGCGCTTTGTCGTTTTTACTCACTCTTCTTAGCAAACACTTGTAGAAGTGCTCACCTACCATGGTTGTTGTGCTTATAACTCCGCCACCAATTGATGAGGTGGGCCGCAAAGAATATGCACGGTACAGACTACAGACTCTTTTAATCATTGCTTTTAAAGTCCTCACCTGGCACTAGCTATCCATTATGTGGGCTTTTTGGATGTCTTTAAAGAAGGGTTTAGTATATATCATGACATATACTCATGAGTCATATATTAATATATAAACTTCAATAAAACGTCAAAAAGCCCTCCAAAGTCTTCACCTCTAAACTTCTGTATCCAAATATCTAAATACCTTGGTTTTTCCCATTTGACCTGGCCAATTTCACTTGGATAATATCTATCTAACCTTGATTAATCTCCTATTAGGCGTTAGACTCTAGTCTGCTGCTTGGTGGACGCTTAACTCTTTTTATAAGAGTGAAATTGTTAGTCAATGTGCTAAGCTGTCAATAACTGTTTCAGCCTTAATGGAAAAAACTATTAACCTTGTTTCAGCCATGTTATTTACCTGGAAATTTAGCCAACCCCCTTAGCTCTGCTCTAAGTTTTATGCACCTTTTCAGCATTAAAAATAAGGATAATGAGCACATTACATTCATCATTAATTATGTTCTCGTGAATAAAATCATATGAAATTTTGCAAAGCAGGTATGTGTATGGCGACAAAGCAATGAAATTGCCAGAAAGGACGAATGTAGTGACAGGAGAGTATGCAAAGCAGTGTCTCGAATTAGCCATGGAGTTGGGTCTCCCTTCAATAGATTTATGGTCCAAAATGCAGGAAACCATGGGTTGGCAGAAGATATTCTTAAGGTCAGTGTTTCTATGTTCTTCAAACTTCTTTAAGCAATAATAGATGCAAATTAACCCAAAATGACCTGAACTTATAGAAAATCACCTTTTTAACTTTTCAATGTCGAAATCCTTATCCATTTTGTATTGTAAAAATTAAAAAAATTGGACCAGACTTGGACTGGCTGACTAAGGTAAGCCCCCACAAATCCCTATGGGGTGAAAAATTCATGTTCTTTCCCTCTTTGGGTTTGGCGACGATCGCTGAGGATCGGTAGTGTAACCTCACAACCATCATATTGATTCTAATGAAATTTTGGGCTTCCTAAATGGGTATAAGGAATAATGTATTACTAATTTCAGCTAAACTCTCATGGCTGTCTATGGAGAAACAAAAAATGTCTTGTTTTGATCTTGAGTTGAATCTTTGTTCGTCTCACTGATTTCCCTCTCAAATTGAGTTTTTTATACCGCTAGCCTGCTAGGAGACACTTCGTCAATGAAATATACAATCACATACCAATATTCAAGATTTCGTATTGCATATTTGAGGCGGTTTTTTTAGCATTGTCTATTGTGTAAGCCTCATTATGCAATGAGGCGTCAGCCTCAGGCAGGTTTTACACAAAATTAAAGAAAAAGCTACAGATAATATAATAAGAATTAAAATAAACATTTATTAAAAGTCAACAAATGTTATTATCGAAGCCAACTAAATTTCAAAGTAATTAAATGTCAATGAATGTCATAAACCCATCCAAATGGCAGGTTCAAAAATCAGAGAAAGCAAATATTTTTTGATACCAAATGATAGAACACTGGTACAAACCAAGCAAAAGCAGTAAACAATAAACACAGATCTGGCCACAAAGTATTGAAAGTAATGTTTATTGATGGGGAAGGTATACGTAGGTAACAAGGCAACAACGGGACTGTTCGAGAAGCCCACTCTCCATTCTCCAAGGCAACACTCAATCAAATAACAGCCTGCCTACAACCGTTGCTAATCTATCTATTTATAGCCAATATCCACAAAGGGATATGTCAGCTGTTACTAATATCCCCTTCCCTTCTAAATATACTACTACAAGTACCTTTACTATTTTTATTATTATTTCTTATTAATAGCCTACTAAGCCAGATTCCTATCAATACTCCCCCCTGAACAACCACCTTGTCCTCAAGGTGGGTGATAAGAATCAGCCATGATCTTCCACTTCCACTTCATTCTTGCACCTCTCCCTCCCTAGGTAGTTTACTCGCTACTAGGTAGCAACTCGGTCAAGGGCCGAGTAGCGAGTAGGACCGATTACTCGGGATTACTCGGTGATTACTTAGCCTAGTATTAATTAAATATAATATATTTAAATATAGTAGTCTTAAAATAGAGCAATAAAATTGTCTTTAAATTGTCTTAAAATGCATAAAAGTGAATAAAAGGATAGAAATCTATTATCCTAATGATGGAGTAGTAAGTGTCATAAAGCAAAAGTGATAAAACATTCAATCATCTGATAAGTTGGTCTGATATTAATCTTCATTGGGTTCAAGGTCGTGATTTTCGTCTTCATCCTCCATGTTCCCAAATAGATCTTCTCCAAATAGATCTTCAGTAGTCAGATTCCCCACTTGTTCTTCCTCTTCCACTTCCGGGTCATCTAAATCAATATCAAGTAGTCTATACGCAGACTGTGATGCATTCACATTCCCCCTTCTGTTTTGACTCCTTGTGTTTGTCCGTGCCTCAGTTGCTTGTTGTGCTGTTCGTACTTTTTCCCAAGTCAGATTATCACCTTGATTGACAAGGTCTTGAAGTGCTTCATCATTTGGAACTACCCAATCATCATTTTCATCAACTTCCCTTAAGAAAATAGGATCATAACTCTTACTGCCAACATTGTGCTGTCTCTCAAAGAATCGTTGCTGCAGCTTTTTGTTGTACTGGATGTAGACAAGATCATTTAATTTTGATTGCAGCAAACGGTTTCTCTTCTTTGAATGTATCTAAAATGTTACACATGAAAAAAATACATTAAGCATAATACCTTACTGGCAGGTACTCTTTTAAAATGAATAAGAATTGAAAAAAATGCAATGAAATACATGTTGGCAAAGTAACATGATCAAGTATAATATGCCCTGAATGAAATAAGTTAAGTATATTCAATACTACTTTATACTAAATGACTCACATGATCAAAGGCACTCCAATTACGCTCACAGGTGAGGCGCTACAGGTTTGACTCAAAACCTTGAGTGCAAACATTTGAAGATTAGGCACATCAGACCCATATGAAAGCCACCATTCATCTACAAATTATTGAATTAATTAAATTATAACTAATTTACACAATATTATAAGTAAATAAAATTGAAAGATGATTAATTAATTACTATAGTGTAATAGTGGAGATGGAAACTTACTGGGTGGGACTTTTTCCCTAGCTCTCACAGCCATAGTTGATCCTAGAGACCCACTTGCAGATCTGTAAAGTACCAACTCACTGCTAATACTGTCAAGTGCATCTTCATCTACGAGCTTTTGTATTGCTTCAAGGAGCCCGGCTTTTATCTCTTTGTTCGACTCCATCTTCGTCACACCATGCTTATAAAATATGCTTGGATTTAGGTAATAACCGGCTGCAGGATAAGCAGGTTATAAACTCACTGCCTCTCACCCCAACTAGATAAGAATTATAGCATAATATAAGTAGGATAAGCAGGACATTACATCAAAGAGACTGTGTAGTAAATGAGTATACAGTCTTTTGAATTTTGATTGTCTAAGGTTTTAACTTTTAAATTAAAGAAAAAGAGCATCCTGAGTCCTGACTAACTTGTAATGAGCATTTATCAGAAATCAGAATGCTGGCCATACCAATAGGGCAGAAGGGGTAGTAATTCTTAAACAGCAATACATTTGAAAAGATGACATTCACCTTAAACTGTTTTCCTAGCTTCCATAATTCCATCCAAAAGTAATCAATTATAAATCATAATAAACAATTTATTAAACAATGAAACAACAAAGAGAAGATTACAGTAAGAAAACAATGAAAAACAGTTTGTACCTGCGTGCAAAGCGTGATGGAATTTATTATTCCATCTAATATCAATTGTCTGCCATACTTTTGCATAGGTGAATTGGTCATTCCCAAGATTCTTTTCAATTTGGTCTTTTGATCTATCCATAGATTCATAAATATAACCCATACTAGGTTTCTCTTCTGTATCCACCAATCTTATCACATCAACAAGTGGAGCCAAGACTTGACAAGTAAAATAAACATTATCCCAAAAGCCTTGCCTTGCCACTATTCTTGCATTTTTTTTTTCCATCAGCCTTCTTTGCAAACTCACTGTTGATCCATTTTTCAGAAACAAATACAACTTGCAAATGACACCTATTCTTCCAAATACTCTTAAGAGTGTAAAACGCAGTAGCAAACCTGGTTACACATGATCTATGCAACTCTCTCCCGCTTGTTAACTTTCGCATTAGGCTCAATATCCTCCCATGGTTTTATATATAAACAACCATTGCTTTACCTTCACGTAAAGCACTTTTTATGGCCGGTTTTTTGTGCATAAACCTCGACGAGGCTTGGGCAACTTATCACCATGATCTTGCAACATTAAGTTCACACAATGTGCAGCACAAGGGGTCCAAAGCATCTTAGGATGTTGTTCCTCTAAAATCCTCCCCGCTGCCTTGTAGTTAGATCCATTATCGGTGATGAACTATTATTTAACATGAGAAAAAACTGAAATTAGTATTAATTAATATCTGACTATTAGTTAATGTATAGACAATAGATTTAGAATTAAAAATAGATCACCTGAACTATATTCTCCTCTCCCACATGTTCAATAATCTCATTAATCAACCCCACAATGAGATTTGCATCTTTTACATGCTCAGATGCGTTAACCGACTTCAAAAAAACTGTTCCTTTTGGACAGTTTACCAAAAAGTTGATCAAAGACCTTCCTTTACCATCTGTCTAAAAATCAGACATAATAGAGCATCCATATGTCTTCCAGTATGCTTTGAATGATTCAACAAATTCTTTTGTTTTGACTAGCTGCTTGTTCAACAGAGTATGGCGATATTGATGATAAGTGGGTGCTGACATACCTGGAAAAGAAATGAAAAGAAATTAAGAATAAAATTTCAGTTTTTTGGACTAAAAATTAAGGCTATTATGGAACTATTTACCTCTTCCGTAATCTCCAACGGCATGAATAAAGGCCTGAAAGCTTGGTGTTCTAACGGCATTAAAAGCTAACCCGACCTCATATCCCCACTCTGCAAATTTATCCCAAGCAATCTCCTTTAATTTCAGCTTAGTTGGATTAGTTTTATCCAACGTTGATTGTTTCATCTTCTCATGGTCGGGCTTTAATAAGGTGTCCAGTGATCCTCTAACATAAGATTGTTTAATTCTTGTCTTAGAAGCAATTGTGCCACTGCCTTGCCCAGTTGTAAAGGTTGAAACTGTGTGTCCACCTTCAGTTCCGCCATCACCATCATCACCAAGCTCGAATTCATCATCCTCATCCAAGAAAGCATTTTCCCTCTCAATGATACTGTCAACTCTAGCTTTCTTAGCCTTGACAGATTTTTTTTCAAGCAATGATTTTGCAGCTATCTTCATCACTTCATTGGTTACCTTGTTACAAGAAGAAACATTTCCCTTAACCTGGGCAAGGTGTTCTTTAAGACAGTAAATCCCTCCAGACATTTTCTTATCACAAAAAAAACACCACACTAAAGATTTATTATTGGGATCTCTATTCTCTCCCCATGTCCATCCTATATGTCTGATTTTCTCTCAAGTGTAGTAGCAGCAGATTCAGCACCATTAGAGGCCTGACCAGACAGAGTAGAGTTCATGACTTTAAATTAAAAAAAAAATTGTGAGTGTATTTATCATGAAAGATGTGAAAGTATATTAGAATATACTTTAGAATATGCTTTAGAATATATTAGGAATATACCATATATAGTATTATTGTATAGCATCTTTTATAGGAATATTCTATCTTTGTAATCTATATTTATAGGGCCTTACCCTTCAATGAAATACACAGAAAATCTTTCTCTCCATCTTTAATATCATTTTAGTTTATATTTCAACATGGTATCAGAGCCATCCATTTCAATTTAGTTTTTCTTTTTCAGATTTCAGTTTAGTTATTCATAACACTAGACTGATTTCAGTCAGAACCTCTTCCTAGAATTTTTCCCAGAACCTCTTCCCAGAACCCCTCTGTTCTCAGAGACTCCATATATTTATTAGAGCATTTCAGAAATCCAGAAACTTCAGAAGTTCAGACCTAAGCTTTCAGTTCATTCTTTTACAGTTTTCGATCATTAGAGCATTCAGCTCTATTGTCATCACTGAAACTTTCAGACAGTTTCTTTGCCGCCGGAAACCAAACCCCTGAGATCCGGAGAAGAAAATTGACGCCCATACTCCACACGCGCCGGCGCGTGATGCTCGCACTCCGCCCAGATTCACGGTCGGCAACTGCCGACCGGCTGACCTGCATATCTCCTATCTTCTGTTGTCGCTTCTCTTTGGGATGCTTAGTATTCGTCACAGCTCTTCAATAAGCTGACATCAGAAAGAAAAAGACGGTACCAGGCAAACTAGTGAGTTTCAGAAATCTGGGTGCGCAAACTTCTTCCAGCCTTACTTGCAGAGGGTTTTTATCCTCAGCCAGATCGCACACTCTCTTCTGGTAAGGACTTATTTACCGAGCCTCTACTTATTGACCTTTTATGCGAACATGGAGGATATAAGACATTAAAAGAAAAGTGAGATTACATTCCTTTGTTTTCCTAGTTTTTTTTTAATACAAAAAAAAAAACAAAACAAAAAGAGAAAAAAAATGTTTCGTACAGGTCAATTTGACAAAGGAGTAATATGCAATTACTGCAAGAAGTCCGGACACTTGCTCAAAGATTGTAGAAAGTTGGCATTCAAAAATCAAGGAAATTTGATTGCTCATGTTGCTTCCGCTACCACCTCATCTGATGGATCAGTTGCTATTTCTTCGGATGAATATGCCAAATTTATTTGCTACCAAGAATCTCTAAAGCATTCATCTGTCCCTATCTCGGTAGCCGCGAATTCAGATATTTCAAACACATGTCTTGTTTCGTCATCCTCGAAATGGGTCATTGACTCGGGTGCCACAGATCATATGACCGGTAATCCTAGTCTATTCTCCTCATTCCATTCATATTTACCCACTTCTAGTGTCACTTTAGCTGATGGATCTACCTCACCCGTTCTTGGATCTGGTATTGTTGTTCCAACTTCTACATTACCATTATCGCCTGTTTTGAGTCTTCCTAATTTTGCATTTAATCTGCTTTCCATCAGTAAAATCATGCGTACTCTTTGTTTTGTAACATTTTTTCCTGGATATTGTGTGTTTCAGGATCTGTTAACGAAGCAGACTATTGGTAAAGGACATGAGTCAGCTGGTCTTTATATTTTGGATACATCCATCACAAAAGGTATCTCTTGTCTTGGGGTTGGGACTTTGTTAGATGCTCATTACCGATTAGGACATTCATCTCTCCCATTAATGAAGCAAATAAATCCCCAATTTAATAAGATGACCTCTTTACAATGTGAGTCATGTCAATTTGCAAAACACCATCGCACTAGCTTAAGCCCACGAGTTAATAAACGAGCAAATGCTCCATTTGACCTTGTTCACTCTGATGTTTGGGGTGCTTGCCCGGTTGTGTCTAAAGCTGGTTTCAAATATTTTGTTACCTTTGTTGATGACTATTCTCGTATGACAAGGCTGTATTTCATGAAACGTCGATCTGAATTGTTCACTCATTTTTCTTCCTTTTGTGCTGAAATTAAAACTCAGTTTAACGTTCCTGTTCGGGTGTTAAGAGGAGACAATGCCCAAGAATATCTATCTGCTACATTTAAGTCATTTATGCTTCAACATGGCATTATTCATCAAACTTCGTGCGTTGACACACCTCCTCAAAATGGAGTTGCAGAACGAAAGAACCGACATCTGTTAGAAACTGCAAGGGCTCTTCTATTCCAAATGAATGTGCCTAAACAGTTTTGGGCAGATGTCGTGTCTACTACATGTTTTTTGATAAATCGAATGCCATCTTCTGTTTTGAATGGTAAAGCTCCTTATCATTGTCTATTTCCAAACAAAGAGCTTTTTCCTATCCCACCTAAAATATTTGGTTGCACTTGTTTTGTTAGAGATGTTAATCCTCATCTTACAAAGTTAGATCCCAAATCATTAAAATGTATTTTCTTGGGTTATTCTCGAGTCCAAAAGAGATATAGATGTTTTTGTCCGAGTACTAGTCGGTATCTTGTTTCTGTTGATGCATCATTTCATGAAAATACACTTTTTTCATCATCTAAGGCAGATATTCATGAGAGTAATGATGATATACTCATTTACACGATGACTATTCCCGAGTCCACACTTTCGACAAATATTCCACAAGTTACTGTTCTTGACCCTAGGCCTCCCGTACATTTGGTATACACCCGTCGACACAAAGCACCTAATCACCCTCCGCCGGCGACACCTGTGATTACTTATCCTGATACTAGTTCGACTCCGATCTCATGTCCTGAACCAATACCTGCATCTTCAGATCTTGTCTCCACATCAGATCTTGACCTCCCAATAGCACTACGTAAAGGTACACGGTCTTGTACTCATCCTATTTCTTCATTTGTGTCATACAATCAGTTATCTCCTGCTTCATGTTCTTTTATTGCTTCCATTGATTCTATTTCTGTTCCCAAATTTGTCAAAGAAGCTTTGTCTCATCCTGAATGGCGTCATGCCATGGTAGAGGAAATGAATGCTTTAGATCTTAATGGTACTTGGGATTTGGTTGACTTGCCTACAGGGAAGAAATCTATTGGATGTAAGTGGGTCTTTGCTGTTAAGGTTAACCCAGACGGATCTGTTGCTCGGTTGAAAACCTGATTAGTTGCGAAGGGTTATGCTCAAACCTATTGTGTTGATTATTCTGACACTTTTTCTCCTATTGCTAAATTAACATCTGTCAGGTTACTTATTTCACTCGCTGCAACTCATGATTGGCACTTACATCAATTGGACATTAAAAATGCATTTTTGCATGGTGACCTTGAAGTCTATATTGAGCAACCTTCGGGATTTGTTGCTCGGGGGGGTATGGTAAGGTTTGTCGACTTCGCAAATCTCTTTATGGTCTGAAACAGAGTCCTCGTGCATGGTTTGGGAAATTCAGTCAATCTATTGAACAATTTGGAATGATAAAAGGCAAATCAGATCACTCTGTCTTTTACAAACAAACAGAATCAGGTGTCACATTGCTTGTGGTGTATGTTGATGATATTGTGATTACAGGGAGTGATAATGCAGGTATTTTGGCTCTTAAGAATTTTCTGCAGAGTCAATTCCAGACGAAAGATCTTGGCTCTTTGAAATACTGTTAGAGACCTCTAACTATTCAGAGATTACAGAAGCTAATATCAAGAAACAAGAGAAATCTTTATTGAAGGAGATGATGAACAGTAACAGTAATAATGGCCGAAGCCCCCAAAGATCAGAGAAACAGACTTCTCAGATCTTCCCAGTCCTAGACAAATGTCCAAAAGCCTACCTTATGCCTTCCTCCCCTTTTCTATTTATAGTATAAGCCCTCTTAGTATTCTTTATAATAATAGGCCCAAACTACCAGGCCCACTAAACAGTATCTATTCTTCAAGTATTCATATTAGAATTATTATCTATTATTAATCTAAAAGGTAGATCCCTATCAATACTCCCCCCCCCCCCCCAAAACATCCACCTTGTCCTCAAGGTGGGTAATAGGAGAAAGCCAAAATCTTCTGCTTCCTCTTCCTCTTCCTGGTTCCTCTCCCTTCCCAATATCTAACTGTTTGATGGACTAGGGACTTCAGTACGAGATCTTTTGAAATCACAGAACTTTCAGCAACAGAAAGTGAATCTCCAATTGGTTCAGTCATCTCTCCCCGCTCCATATCCAAAATTATTACTTCACTTTTCTGCTTCCCTTCATGATTTCTATGTTCTGAAACTATTACTGTGCTGAATTCAAACTCCTTTATGCATCTTTCAACCTTTTCCTCTTTTAATTCTTTGCTTACCTTATTTGAGAAGGAAAGCCTCAAAGGTTTTAGCAGGTAAGTAAGGATACCCCTTATTCCAGTTGCAGTTCTCCTAACTAAGGAACAGGAACTCCTATTATCCATGTAAAATTTCAAAAGTTGGTTTTCTTGAATGTAGATATATTCTTCATCAGAAGAAAACATTGCACTTTTCAAGCCTTGTTTCAGTTTCACCTGTCCAGTTGCCTCAGCTTCCAATCCATTAACATTAGCCTGAGTATTAGGATCAAGGGCCACACTGATTTTATCCACTGTCATCCCCTTTATTCTTGCTAAGTTGCCCCGGAATAGTACAACACCTTCACCCTTAATGTTTTGGTCATGACTGTCAACTATTTCCCAATCCCTCTCTGAAGTCCTGAATATCTTGATCCCATGAACAGCAATTGCCATCTGAAGTCTATAATTCAAATCTGCACATCCTTTTTGAACAGGACTACAAGCTATTGGTGTACTCCTTAGTTTTTGAAGAATAATCCATGCCTCTTGGAAGATAGCAGGACTGTTTTCATTTTTAGGCAACAGAAACTGGTCAACCTTATCATCAGTAGTATAATCCTCCTTCCCTTTCCAATTTGGAGTCACTCTTACCCCCAACACATTTAGAATATACTTTATAAAAGTAAAACCCTCACATCTTAAACTATCAAACTTGTTCAATGACTTCAGCCCTTCCAAAGCAATGTGTAATATATCACAGTCCATCATTACAGATTTTAAAACATTAAGCCAGTTCCTCTCCTGTACAAACCCAAAAGTCAATGTGGACTTGACCACACAAACATCACTATCACATACCTGCAGAATGTCAGCTTCGCTATTTTCTGAAACTGTTGGTGCCACTTGCTTCAATTCAGTATGAATTTCCGAAATTATAGTCCCTGTTAATCCTTTTCCTGATGCGACTATGGTTATAGATTCTGAAACTGATGATTCATGTGGGCATGTTGACACTCGCACACTGGGATTTATGGCTTGCAATGTCATCTGCGAATCAAGAGACAAGTCTGGCGCAGGGTAAGAATCTACTTACAACAATGATAAAAGATGCTCGGTTGGCAAGGGCAAACTGAGAGAAACAGTTCGCGACTGCGAACTAGGGAATTCTTGTGACTGAGATGGAGCTTTGCTTTTCGAATTCACGCAGCGACGTACCTTCCTCGATCGTCCTCGCCGGTTATGTTGTTTGCTCTTCTCACGCTTCTCCTTATCCAGGCTGTAGCGTTTCTCTTTCCCAGGTTTAGAACTCTTCTCTTTCTTCAGGTTTGAGCGTTTCTCTTTCTCCAGTTTTGGGCGTTTTTCTTTCTCTGATTTGCTCTTCTCCTTCTCTATTTTTCCGCGCTCCATCGTTTCCGCGAGTTTCCCCAATTTTCCGCGCGGATCCTTTAGCGAGTGCGAAACGATTATCGGCTTCTTCTGCGACCTTCGCGACTGTGATGGTTTATCAGAACGCCGATTGTTTCTTGGCATGCTTAATTTGCATAGCTCTTCGCGCAACTTCTCCATCTTTTGCTCCCAAGTTTCCATCGTTCCTGCCATGTACACGACTACAGGTAGCAAGATCGTTTTTCTCTGATACCAATGTTAGAGACCTCTAACTATTCAGAGATTACAGAAGCTAATATCAAGAAACAAGAGAAATCTTTATTGAAGGAGATGATGAACAGTAACAGTAATAATGGCCGAAGCCCCCAAAGATCAGAGAAACAGACTTCTCAAATCTTCCCAGTCCTAGACAAATGTCCAAAAGCCTACCTTATGCCTTCCTCCCCTTTTCTATTTATAGTATAAGCCCTCTTAGTATTCTTTATAATAATAGGCCCAAACTACCAGACCCACTAAACAGTATCTATTCTTCAAGTATTCATATTAGAATTATTATCTATTATTAATCTAAAAGGTAGATCCCTATCAAATACTTTCTGGGAATTGAGGTAACACGAAGTAAGAAAGGCATATTTCTATCTCAACGTAAATATGTACTTGACTTGCTAGCTGAGACAGGGAAATTAGGGGCAAAACCAAGTACAACACCCATGGTTCCCAACGTGCAACTCACTCAAGAAGGCACACCGTTTGAAGACCCAGAAAGATATAGAAGACTGGTTGGAAAGCTTAATTATCTCGCAGTCACTCGTCCAAATATTGCCTACTCTGTGAGTGTAGTGAGTCAATACATGTCATCTCCAACCATTGATCATTGGGCTGTAGTAGAACACATATTATGTTACTTAAAGGGTGCACCAGGACGAGGTATTGTTTATCAAAACCATGATCACATGAGAATAGAATGTTTTGCAGATGTTGATTGGGCCGGTTCTAAAGATGATCAAAGATCTACATCTGGTTATTGTGTCTTTGTTGGTGGTAATCTTGTATCTTGGAAGAGTAAGAAGCAGAATGTGGTTTCTCGTTCGAGTGCCGAATCAGAATATCGAGCTATGGCACAATCTGCATGTGAGATCATATGGATAAGCCATTTATTGACCGAGCTCGGACTGAAGACATCAATGCCAGCTAAATTGTGGTGTGATAACCAAGCTGCTATACACATAGCAAACAATCCTGTATTTCATGAGAGAACAAAGCATATTGAGGTCGATTGTCATTTTATTCGAGAGAAGATACAAAAAGGATTGATCTCTACAGGATATGTGAAGACTGGGGAACAACTTGGAGATTTGTTCACTAAAGCACTAAATGGAATTCGAGTTGGTTATTTATGTAACAAGTTGGGCATGATAAATATCTATGCTCCAACTTGAGGGGGAGTGTGAAAGTATATTAAAATATACTTTAGAATATGCTTTAGAATATATTAGGAATATACCATATATAGTATTATTGTATAGCATCTTTTATAGGAATATTCTATCTTTGTAATCTATATTTATAGGGCCTTATCCTTCAATGAAATACACAGAAAATCTTTCTCTCCATCTTTAATATCATTTTAGTTTATATTTAACAAAAGACAATAGGGGGGACTGGGCAGAATAAGAAACCAGACAGGCAGACGGGGGGAGGGGAGTCAGGGGAATATACGAAGCTCCAAACATCATGATTCATGAGGGAGAATAAGAAGGATAATCTCAATTTAATTTTTTTAAACAATAGGGAAGAAGAAGAGGGAAATAACTTACCTGTAGCAGTCGCAGGTCTTAGCAGTCGCATGTCGTAACTCCAGGTTTTTGGTATGCGCAGGTCTTAGCAGTCGCAGGGCGCAGCTCCAGGATTTTGGTATGCGCAGGTCGCAACTCCAACAGATTGAAGTTTTAGGTTTTCTTAAGCGCAGTTTTTTATATAAGAACCGAGTAATAGCGAGTAACTCACTTATTTGACCTAACCACCGAGTAGCCTAACTCGCCGAGTACTCGCCGAGTAACTCGGAATATTAACTCGGACCGAGTTAAGTGCTACTCTGCAAGGCCATAGGCTGAGTAGGGAGTACTCGCCGAGTACTCGCCGAGAAGATAACCTAGCTCCCTCCCCAATACCTCCTGGATTTTTTGGACCTTTAGATCCCGTACTTAAAGCTGCATCTTCCTGCTCTTCACTGCAAGCAACATAAACAATGATCTGGTGGTAGAATGCTCCCTGTTGCTGCAAAAGTTAGAATCTCCCTGCATCTGTATCTCTTGTTTAATCTTCTGCTTGTGTTCGAAAATCTTTTTAAGAGAATTGACCTCATCTTGGTCAAGACCTTGAACAACTTAATAACACCTGATCTGAAATCTCAGTTATAATAACACCTCAACATCTTCCCAGGGATCCAATCAAACTCAAAGCTTTTATCCAACCTACTGGAGCAGCTTAAACAATAGTTTCTGTATATCTCAGCTAGCCTCTCCCATGTATATCTTTTCAGGAGCACAGATGTGTTTCGAAGTCTCACAACATCTGTCTTGATTCTTTCAGAATTTATGGATGATAAGGCACAACCTGCTACCTCACAGAAAACAACACTTATTTGCTTACGAGCATCTTCATCATAAACCAGCAGTATCTTCCTTTAAACAGAAATAATCTGAAGAGTTTCATCTCTAACGGGGTCACATAGCAAACAAACTATAACCTTTTTAAGGACACCCATCCGAACTTGAACTGTTCTATCAGTAGACCTCTTTAAGACTTCCATAAATACTTAATGAAAAGCCTCCTGGATCTCACCTTTGGATATAGCAAAGAGGCCCCCAAGCGAGCTAATTACTTCTAGTCGTATATTTAAGTCGTATGTCTCCTTTTTGGATTGCATCATAGGAGAATTATAAGTGTAGACTGCCCATTGATAATCTCCATAAAGATTTTTCATTCCATCCAGCAATTCTATAACAACTTTGATATTATTAACAACTTCGTTTTCCAAAGATAAATCCATCAGGTGCTCGCTATTGGAGACATCAATTCCAGCAGCCTGGATAGTAAAGTCCCATTCCATACTGGTTCCACCTGTCTGGTATTCAAGCACCAACTCATCAGCCCTTTTCAGTCCAGAATAAGAAAGTACCAATTTGCAGTAATTTATGGCCACCCTATACTTGATATCTGAATGAGTGGAAACTGATCCTCCAATTGTACTAATCTGTGGATCATTCCCCACCCCTTTCTTTTCCCCGGCACACAGGACTAAGACAACATCTGCACCCAAAGGAGCTTGGCCCTGTCCTTCAACACCCACAACCCTCTTCTCTCTAAACCTGCTGTTAGCAAGTTGTAGAGCACTGTCACCCCTTTCCAGTAATATATCTTTTCCCCCACTTTTAGCAAATAGAAATTCTGAAAGATAATCACCCCCTGCATAGAAGCGGGCCACCACAAAGCATCTCCACTTAACTGATAGGAGTTTATCAGCAGTATGTATATGATAGCAACAGACTTGATTCATATTGATAATATTGAAGGAAAACAATGTGGAATCAGAATGATCTGACTTGATTACAATGTATGAAAATGAGAAAACATGAATGAAATGATAAACGGGTTTTACAGAGTCCTCACTCTCCCGTGTTACCAACTCTAACAAACTCTCCCCGCTATATTCCTCTCTGCGCCCACTCTCTCTGCACGCACCCACTTCTTAACACGTCACCAGGAGTTAGTTATTAGAGGAGTGATCCCCTATAACCGGGTCTACCATATTTCTTTTTTCTTCCTTATATACACTTTGTCAAATTTGTCAAATTTACCCCTCTTTAATGTATCATTACTCCCCCTTCAACACTCACCTTGTCCTCAAGGGGAAAGAAAGGAAATTCCCTCTTGAACTTAGTCACCAGCTTCCAAGAGTTCTCAAATTCAGGCAAGCCTTTCCATTTGATCAACACTTCTAGCGCACCCTGGTCATTTGTTCTCAGTTGCTTGACAGCTTCTGGTTGAACTTCCAGCAACCATTCTTCATTCATACAGGCTGGGAGGGGTTGAAAATCAACTGTGGGGGCAATTGACTTCTTCAACAGGGAGACATGGAACACTGGATGCACCTTACTGTGTGGAGGTAGCTTGAGCTGATAAGCAACAGCTCCAATCTTCTTTTCAATCTCATAAGGACCATAGTAACGAGGGCTCAATTTCTGGTTGATTCGCTTAGCCAAACTCTTCATTTTATATGGCTGGATTTTCAAGTAAACCATCTCTCCTACCTGATACTTCACGGGTCTTCTATGCTTGTTAGCTTGAGCTCTCATTCTATCTTGAGCCTTCACCAATTGCTCCTGCAATTCCTTGATCATGTCATTTCTTTCAGCTGTTAATCTGCTGACTTCGTCAACCGAAGAATGATGAACATCACCTCTTAAAAGCAACAGGAGGGGGTCTGCCATATAAAGCTTCAAATGGAGACATTTTTACAGACGAGTGATAGTTTGTATTATACCAAAATTCTGCCCAGTTGAGCCACTTGGGCCACTGGTTAGGTTTCTTACCAGTTAAACACCTGAGATAGGCTTCCAGACATCTGTTAACCACTTCAGTTTGCCCATCAGTTTGTGGGTGGTATGCACTGTTGTACATCAATTTAGTGCCTGCTAGCTTGAATAGTTCAGCCCAAAAACTACTCAAAAACACTGTCTCTGTCAGATATGATTGATTCCGGGAACCCATGCAATTTCACTATTTCCTTAATGAAAGTTTCTGCTACACTCTTAGCCGTATAAGGGTGACTAAGCGCAATGAAATGGGCATACTTAGTCATCCTATCTACCACCACCATAATAGTGTCCACTCCCATAGCCTTAGGTAAACCTCCATTGTGACATCGCTCCACACCTGTTGTGGAATAGGTAGTGGTTGCAAAAGACCTCCCAGACTCAGAGTTTGGTACTTATTTCTCTGGCATACCTGGCATACCTCACAAGACTGCACATAGTCTTGAATTTGTTTCCTCATTCCCTCCCAATGCACAAGAACAGTAACTCTTTTGTAAGTTCTGAAAAAACCAGAGTGGCCTCCTATGGCCGAATCATGTAATTCTTTGAGTATCCAAGAAATTCGGGGTGAATTTCGTGGAACAACAGTTCTGTCCTCCTTATACAGCCTTCCTTTCTTCAACTGATACCCATGATGACTTTTTGAGTCACCTAACAGATCCTGCACAATGCGTTTCAGCTTATCATCTGCTTGGATTTCATCTTCTAAGCCCTCCCAGATTTCACATCTCACAGTGGACAATGTTGCAAACTGCATTTGCCTTGCCAATGCATCAGCGGCTCTATTCTGTTTCCCAGGCCTGTACTTAATCTCAAAATCATATCCCATCAGTTTAGAAACCCATTTCTGCTGCTCTTCACTCATAATCCGTTGCTCACTCAAGAACCTTAAACTCTTTTGATCAGGTAATACTTGGAAATGCCTACCAAGTAGATACGGTCTCCACTTTTGAATAGCAAAGACAATTGACATCAATTCTCTCTCATAGACAGATTTTTGTTGAGATCTATCAGGGAGAGTTTGGCTCATATACGCAATGGGTCTGCCTTCTTGCATAAGAACCGCTCCAATCCCCCCTTCCCAGATGCATCAGTTTCTATCATGAATTCCTTGTTGAAATTAGGAATAGCCAATACAGGCAGTGTCGTCATCATGGTTTTCAACAATTCAAAGGCCTCTTATGCTTCCTCGTTCCATACGAAATTATCTTTCTTTAACAACTGAGTCAAAGGCCAGGCTATCTTACCATAGTTCTTGACGAATTTCCTGTAGTAGCCTGTGATACCTAAGAATCCCCTCAACCCTTTTAAGTCTTTTCGAGTAGGCCACTTGAGCATATCTTCAATTTTCTTGGGTCCGCTGCCACCCCTGCCCTTGAGATTAAGTGACCCAGGTATTCGATTTGAGGCTGCCCAAAAGTACATTTCTTCTTATTTTTATATAACTGATTAGTTCTTAGCAACTCAATAACCTTTCTCAAGTGCTTTTCATGCTCCTCCATAATCCCACTGTACACTAGTATCATCAAAGAATACTAGGGTAAATTTCCTCAAGAATAGCCTTAGCACTTGGTTCATCAATGCTTGAAAGGTTGAGGGCGCATTGGTCAAGCCAAAAGGCATGACCAAATACTCATAATGACCCTCATGGGTCCGGAAGGCTGTTTTGTGAACATCTTCCTCCCTCATTCGAATTTAATGATAACCCGATTTCAAATCCAGTTTAGAAAACACAACAGCAGCTCGGAGTTCATCTAGTAATTCATCAATGATAGGTATGGGAAACTTATTAGGTACCGTTACCTTATTGAGTGCACGATAGTTGGTGCAAAACCTCCATCCACCATCTTTTTTCTTTACCAACAAAACCGGACTTGAAAAAGGGCTAGTGCTGTGCCTCACAATGCCTGACTGCAACATCTCCCTTACCAGCTTCTCAATCTCATTGTTTTGGTAAATTGGGTATCTATAGAGCCTGATATGGGGTATCTCAGCACCAGGCTTCAAGATAATGGCATGATCATGTTCACGAGTTGGTGGGAGTCCTGCAGGCATGTCAAAGACATCCTGAAATTCCTTCAACAATTCCAAAAAAGGATGTTCAGTACTGACAGTATCACCCCCATCCTCTTGTTGCACTATGAAGCCCACACCCTTGTCTTGCAATGCCTTCCACAAGGCTTTCCAGGAAGTTTGCCTTGTGCAGAGAGATAGAGATGGATCACCTTGTATGATGTACTTCTTCCCATTCATAGTCCATTTTAGGCTCAAGTTTCTGAAATTTGCCTCTATGTTGCCCAAACCAGCCAACCAATCCAGACCCAACGCCAGTTCTGTTCCTCCCAAATCCATAAGATAAAAATCCTGATTGAACTCTATCCCTTGGATTGTGAATCAAACCTTGTTGCAGACCCGTTGTTTCTGATTTGCTCCCCGGTTCCCACCTCCACAACAAAAATTGGAGTCTCTGTTATTTCCAGTTTCAAAATCTCGGCAATCTCCGGGGACACAAAACAACTAGTTGCACCTGAATCTATCAAGGTTAAAATTCTCCTACCTCCAATCATCACCCATACCTTGAAAGACTTGTGGGAAGCAATCCCTTCTCTGCTTTGCAAGGATAATTGTAGAGTTTTAAACTCTTCTACAGCCTCACATTCTTCAAATTCCTCTTTGTCACTACTTCCCCCTTCACACAACATCAACCTCATGTGCTTCATCTTATAAATATGCCCATTACCCCATCTATCTCCACATTTAAAACGCAATCCTTTCTTACTTCTTTCTTCTAGTTCAGCTTGGCTAAGTGACTTCCCTTTCCAGCCTTCTCCTCCTTTACCCCAGTAGAACCATCCTTCCTGCCAACTTCCTTTTTGTCTTTGTTGTTATCCCACATGCTATGAAACTTAGGAATATAGGTCCTGTCCTTGGTTTCCACCTTTTCCTTTGTTCCACTACCCTTCCCAAACAGAGCTTGATGCTTCTCTTCAACAATCAAAGCTTGATCCATCAATTCTGCTAAGTCAGCTATCTTAAACAGCTTCAACTCAGCTCGTACTTCGTCCTTGAGGCCATTTCTGAAGATACTGGGAAGTAAGGTTCGTTCCTCCTTCAACGGAGCTACATGGAGCTCAAAATTATCCCTATAGTCCGCAGCTGTCCCTTCCTGCTTCAACCTCAATAACGGGCCCAACGGATCAATAAATGCACCCGGGTTAAACCGTCGCAGCACCGCGACTCTGAATTCCGGCCACGTTCTTGCCACCGTCTGCTCTTCCCACCATTGAAACCAATTAAGGGCCCTTTCCTCCATTGTGATCACCACTGCGTCGAGTTTTTCCGCCTCATTCAACTCGTTGACCCGGAAATATCTCTCGACCCGGACCAGCCAACCATGCACATCGTCGCCATTAAACACTGGAATCTCTAGCTTACGACCTCGTGTCCGCCCTTGATGATCGTACCCTCCAGATTTCCCATGCGGTGAAGTTATTCCACTTCCGCCCGGTGAGAATTCCCCTTCTTCCTCCGTCGCGCCACTCTTCCTTTTCGCAAAGTCTCTGAACTTTGCGGGAAACGATTCCATGCTCTCAAGGATCTGCTTCACTGATCCTTCTCAGTTTCCCACGCATAGTTCCATATTGTCCATTCGGTTCTCCATCGCACCTCTGGTCGCGACCATCCACTCGCAGGATCACAGGCTCTGATACCAAATTGATAGGAATCTATCAGCAGTATGTATATAATAGCAACAGACTTGATTCGTATTGATAATATTGAAGGAAAACAACGTGGAATCAAAATGATCCGACTTGATTACAATGTATGAAACTGAGAAAACATGAATGAAATGATAAAAGGGTTTTACAGAGTCCTCACTCTCCCATGGACAAGCCAAATTCCAGTCTGCCCAACTCTAACAAACTCTCCCCGCTATATTCCTCTCTGCGCCCACTCTCTCTGCACGCACCCACTTCTTTACACGTCACCAGGAGTTAGTTATTAGAGGAGTGATCCCCTATAACTGGGTCTACCATATTTCTTTTTTTCTTCCTTATATACACTTTGTCAAATTTACCCCTTTTTAATGTATCATTAACATTACAAGGTCAGCTTTAGCATCGCTTTTGACTGATATGAATTTGGTCAGTTCTTCCCTATCCACGCTTTCATAGACCTTATCTGCTGCAGCATTAATCTCTTCACAGTGATGGATCTTGTTCCATTCTATCATCATTCCACAATCAAAATAAGCAGGAAGTCCATCCTTAACAACAAACTCGGGAGATTTCATATCTCCCCTACACAAGTAAACTGTCTGTACCATGCCTACAACTGCAGAAGTTTTGAGAAATGATTCACGCATCTCCTTGATTGGGCTAGGATGACACCTTATTCGAGAGTAGGTAGTATATTGGTTCATTATCTTTTCAGCAACAACATTGTTGACTACTTTCAGATGATCAAAATCATAACCTTTATCATAGCTCAAACTATCAAACTTGCTCAGTTCTTCCAATTTAGTGTTTGATGAATAATGGAACACAATATTCTTCAAACCATTTAATCCAGATTCATGAACCTTTAAATCAAAGTTTTAAAATCTCTTTGGTTTATGTCCAGTGCACTAGCATACCTCATATCATCATAGGTAAGGATATTTGATTTAACCACTTCTAAACCTTCCCTATTGTCTGATGAAAATCCTGTAGGTTGATTAATCTCCTCTTCCAGTTCTGATTCTGTAACTGATGGTGTAACCGGTTTCAACTCAGGGGTCAGAGTAGGTGGCTGAATTTCCGGTGATCCGTAGCTGAGAACTGTAGAACATGACAATGCTTTGGCCTTAACACACCTCATTTTTTGAACCGGTATACAAACTACTGGTAATCTCCTTACACTTTCACCACTAATCAAGGCATCTGGAAAGATAGCAGGATTGAGTTCATTTTCAAACATCATAAACCTACAAACTTCATAGGTACGCATTCGTGTTTGAGACAGGCCCTCCTCATCAGCCCCTGTGATTTTGTTGATCAGTTCCAAGGCCATCTCAGTGTGGTCTGTATGATTTCCTTCCTGACCGCATGGAATGTCAAGTTTGAGGGGTGCTGAATCTTCAGAGGGAGGTTGCAGCTGACTCACAGACTGCTGCGGGAATGAAACTGACTCCACTTGCGGACTGTGAAAAGCGGAAATATGCAAAGAAACCTGCGGTGAGTCCTGCGAACTGAGATAAGTTGCGCGTTGTGCCCTGCGAACTGAGACCTGCGAAGCTTCTCTCGATCGCGTCACACTTGGTCGTGAACTGCTTGCGAATGATGAAGTTCGCAAAGAGCTGGGAGATTATGCAGTTCGTGACTGCAAACTGAGTGAACAGGAAGAAGAAATAGGCGATTGCGATCTGGGGGAACTGGCTTGCAATGTCGATCGGTGAGGAGAAGAAACCTGCGCATTTGGCGACAAATTGGGATACACAGAAGGCCGATTTTTAGATTCGCGATCTCTGCGAATTTGTTCGTTCATCGCTGCTATAGATGCTGCGGTTTCTGCCGTAAATGCCACAACAGTGCTTTGAATCTGTTCATTCATCGTGGTCGCGAGGTTTGCCATAGTCGCCTTCATCTTCTGTTCCAACGCATTCCTGCGATTTTCCATTTTAGATCTCCTTTTAACCATCCACCACTGAAACGGGAGCTTTGCTGAAATCGCACTTCAATTTTGATCCCCAGGAGCAACTACTCTGATACCAATGATAGAACACTGGTACAATCCAAGCAAAAGCAGTGAAAAATAAACACAGATCTGGCCACAAAGTATTGAAACTAATGTTTATTGATGGGGAAGGTATACGTAGGTAACAAGGCAACAACAGGACTGTTCGAGAAGTCCACTCTCCAAGGCACAACACTCAATCAAATAACAGCCTGCTTACAACCGTTGCTAATCCATCTATTTATAGCCAATATCCACAAAGGGATATGTCAGCAATTACTAATATCCCCTTCCTTTCTAAATATACTACTACAAGTACCTTTACTATTTTTATTATTATTTCTTATTAATAGCCTACTAAGCCATATTTCTATCAGACTATTGGATTGAGGAGTACAAAAGCAAATAATATGTATCTAGTGGTTTGAAATAGGGATCTAAGCCACTAGCATTTCTCCCCAATCATCATCATTCTCTTAAAAATCAAAGTCAAAAGAATTGTATTCACTATCACCAAGGAAAGAGAAAGGGGGCACATAAGCCCACGTACTAACCAAAAAAGATCAAATAAGCCCTTATTTGGGAGGCTCTGTCCGGCCGTCGCCATTTGGGGCGGTTTCCGGTGGAATTTGTTGATGAATGCTTTTGAGCATCTTATTCATTAAGTCTAGTTTACTCATACCAAAGTTCAGCTAAAACTTCAACCTGGAAGGTATTCAAATGAATTCTTGAAGATAACTGCGCAGTTAACAGACCAGACTTAAACAAACCGGACCAGATTAAACAGACCAGACCAGACTAGTACACAGAGATCAATTGACAGTTATAAAATATACAGAGACCAGACATTTACAAATGAGGCTAGATCAATTCAGTCCAGACTTGAGCAGATCACACCAGACCAGTAAATTTGAGTCCATAAAAAAGTATCCTAAGCCCTCAGACTAAAGAAACACGTTCCAGAACTATACAAAAACGATCAAATTTCTAATTTAGAAGGTTGATTCCATGTTAGCCGGTCATTCACTTACGTGGCAATCAAGGTGGCGTATTTTAACCTACTTCTTAATGTCTTAATGTTAATGGGATGGAGGTAGTAATATTTACAAAATAATAATTTATTAATGCATTAATAAATAAAACCTAGTCAAAGTAGAATATATGAATATTGTAAAATGGATGTAGTATATAATAGTTCCCGACATTTACCCCACTGATTTTGGTGGTTTGCCTTCCGGGTTAAAAAAAGGATGTAGTATATAATTATATACGTAGTGATGAGATAAAACAAGAAATAAGGGCAAAAAGAGAACGCTACAGAATGTTAGGCAAAAGTTAGAGCGATAAGAACATAGAGTACAAGGCGATTAAAAGAAAAGCAAAGAAAGCCGTAAAGGAAGCAATAGAGAAAGTGAACAAGGAAGGGGAAAAAGATATTTACAGACTAGCTCGTCTTCATGATTGTAGGACTCATATAAGAAAAGTTAAATGTGATGGATGTCAATCAAAGGGTACTAATGGAGGACAAGAAATAAAACAGGGGTGGAAGTCATACTTAATACCTTGTTCAACGGGGATAAAGTGCAAGATATTGGTGATTTTACCAGATTGTATGGTAAATCGAGATTCCATCATTTCCAATGGAGCCAAAGACTCACTATTTTTTTGTTTGGGAATATGATGGAATAAAGCAAAATGACTCACTAAACTGTCTGCACTTCTTTGTTATGAAGCAACAGTCAGTCCATGCAATTCTCGACACGATTTTCACTATGGGTCATTGGAAAACAATCTCTTTATACATCAGTACAAGAGTAAGACTGCGTACATCCGACCCCCCCTTATCCCACCAAAGGTGGGAGCATTTGCGGCACTGGAGTAATGATGATGATGATGTATGGTAAATCGAGACTTTGTGAGAAGGATCCAAACGACAAAAGTTAAAGAACTCAAAGAAAGATGGGCGGAAAGAAAGTAGCGGACCCAGATAACTCTTAGTCAAATTGGGGAAAAGTATAGAGATACTAAAAAGGATCTGCATTTGGTGTTCATGGACTTAGAAAAGGCATATGATAGGGTACATCGAGAAGTCCTTTAGTAGGCTTTAACTGGAAAAGACATCACGTTATTATATCAGTATCATCGTGGATATTTATGAGGCTTGTACTACAAGTGTCCGTACTAGTGTAAGGAAGATTGCATAGCTCCCTATTAATTATTGGAGTGCAACATAGATCGGCTCTGAGTCCATTCTTATTTGTTATAGCCATGGATGAATTTCAGGCAATTCAAGAAGATATATCGTGGTGCATGGTGTTTCCTGACGATATTGTATCGATAGATGAGGCGCAATCATATGTTAAAACAAAGTTGGAAGTTTGGTGACAAACGTTGGAGACCAAGAGTTTCACACTGAGGCAAAGCAAGACTGAGTATATGGAGTGCAAGTTTGGTGGAGCCAAAAGTAGTAGTAACAATGGGATTACCCTTGATGGTACCTGTGTGTGATATATTTTGCTACTTAGACTCCATAATCGAGAAAGATGATGAATTAATTATATGTAGATGTATCACATTGAATTATAGCAGGGTGGATGAAATGGGAAAGTGCTCAGTGGCGGATCCAGAAAATACAGTTATTGGGGGCACTAGGTGTTTGAAAATTTTGCTTTTCCTATTTTTTAAAAGCAAAAGTAAAATCTGAAATAGTTTTCAGAAGCTGGTTTCCTCCAACTCCAGACAAATTGCTTCTCGGAACATTTTGAGACCTCAGAAGTACTTTTACATTTTCACTCAAACACTTTAAAGGAGTGTTTGCGATTGCTTTTACTTCAAAAAATGATTTGTTAAAGTGATTTTGGATAAAGTACTTAATTGTAAAAATTGGTAATGTTTTAGAAAAAAGTGATTCTGAAAATTAAAAGTTGGTAGTGTTTGATAAAAAAAGTGTTTTTTGTGTAATAAAAAAGTGAAAAACAGTTTAAAACACTCTTCCACCTGCTTCCAACTTTTAGTTTTTAAGTGATTAATTTAAACAAAAGATGTCATTTGAAAACACTCTTTTCAGTTTTTTTAACCCAAAAGCTGAAAATCACTGTTTTAAAGCTGTAGTGAACACTACCTAATATCCGTTTCAACTCTCTGAAGGAGCAGAATTAGTTTTAAGAAGTAGTTTCAAACACCCTTTAGAGCTGGTTCTGCTTCTTCTTCTTTTTAAAAATAGAAATAGAATCATAATAACTTTTATTTACTCCCAGACATGCACAATCACGGCCAAAGTTATATTTTTTAAAAAATAAGTACCTGTTAAATTTAAGTGACAATAATAATTTTACTAATAATAGCGTAGGTTCAATTTTTATATAGTTGTATTTAAGTGACCAATGACCATGACATTGTAGTCAATACTCCCTCTGGATCTTTTTAAACTTCATAGTTTGACTTCACATTGATTAAGGAAATAAATTTGACTTTACTGTAGAGTACACTGTTGAGACACTGTTTGACATTGTCGAGACACTGTTTGGCACTGTTGAGACACTGTTTGACACTGTTTAACACTGTTTTGATGTAGATTTCTTTGTCAAATAAGGAAATAAGGAAGTGTGAAGTTTATTTTGGACCGTCCCAAAAAGGAAAGTGTGAAGTTTAAAAAGAACCGGAGGGAGTAATATTTTTGAAAAATATCAACTTAATAAACCTGATTATGAAAATAAAGATTGGAAAAAAGTAATTTTAAATCTTTATTAGTCGAACGAGTAATTGACTAATCAAGTTATAGGTGTATTTCTTGGAAAATTGATTTGGTAACACAAAATCGAATATTATTTCTCAACTCTTAAACTACTCTTTCTTTAGGCTTTAAAAATTGGAATAACATAATGTTTAAAAGATAAAATCGAGTCTTACAAAACATGAACAGATAATGGGCCGACCCTATGCATCTGTTACATTTCAACATGATTGTCGACTATTTAATGGGGGGATTGGGGGCACTCATATTTTTTGGTTGGGGGCACAAGTGATTAATTGATTAAAAGTAATAAAAAACACTAAAAAAGACAAATGTTGTTGGGGGCAAGTGCCCCCATCCTCCAAAGGGTGCATCCGCCCCTGAAAGTGCTTCACAATTTCTATGTGATCGGGGTATGCCGACTAATCTGAAGGGTCAACTTTATTGAACATCAATTAGACCTGCATTAATGTATGACACAAAGTGTTGGGCGGTGAAACAATGTCACATTCTTGGATGCGTGGACATACTAGAAAAGATCGCTTTAGGAATGAGATCATCTGACAAAAGGTGGAGTAGCACCTATAGAAGATAAAATGCGGTAGTCTCGATTGTGGTGATTTGGATGTGTGCGCAGAAGATCAAGTGATGCACCTGTTAGACGACTTGAAAGGTGGGGAGAAGAGGCGGGGAGGAGAGGGAGAAGAAAACCCAAACAGACTTGGATCATTTGTTTCTTTTTGGGTTGGATGAAAGTATGACTTTGGAGATAACAAAGCGGAAAGCGCATATTCGTGTGAACGATTGATATCTTTTCTCTCGTCTCAATATGTTTATATCTTTTATCTTTATCTTTAGATGTTCTTATGTTATTTTATCTTTTAACTTTCTTATGCTCTTTTATCTTATTTTATTATTATGTTCTTATGCCATTTTTATCTTATATTTATCTTTATCTTGTTCATTTTATGTTACTCTATCATTTTTATTCTTTTTATTTTTATTCTCTTTGTGGAATCGATATCATTGATCTTATGCTCTTTTCTTATTTATCTTGTTCATTATACAATGTGAAGCTAGGGCACTGGGCCAGACTCTAGGCCAGATTGGCCGACACAAAGAATATTTTTGAAACTTTTTTTACACGGATTTTTTTACACTAAAAATATAGACATTTTTTAAATTTGGGTTGCGCCAGGGCCAAGGTTGACCTTCCCCTAGCTATGCCCCTGCATAATTGTCGCCTAGGCGATATGGTGGTCAGCTGGCACCGCGATTCGCCTTACCGTTGTGACAAGTATGACACCCGAACACATCAGTCGGGATTAGGGGATTTAAATGTAAATAATATGTTTTAATTGGATTCAAATTTTGTGTTTTGGTCCCGTTTGGTCTAAACTGGTCTGGTCCCGTAGATAGTTGTTCTATGTGTATGTACTTTACAACTTGCCAGGTCTTGATTTGGTATAAGACAGAAACCTGTCCAAGTAAAAGAGAATATTATTAGTCATAAATAACTAAGTTGCCAGGCGAGGTTTAATCAAGTATGCGTGGACTTCTTTATCGATGCTATTAAGGGTGTGTTTGGGTACCAAGAAATGCTTGAGAAAGAAGCACCAATGCTAAGAAAACTTTCATATGTTTGATTCAACCTTGGAAACTGTAAGATAAAAAATATTTAGATCTTTTTTACTATTTAGATTTATTTAGATTTCTTGGTGTTTATTTCCCGAAATTTTCATCTCCTAATTTAATCCCTATCCAGTATACACCATATTTTCTTCTCTGATTTGCAGTGATGGTTTACACCTCACACCAGAAGGCAATGCTGTCGTCCATGGAGAAGTAGTTAGAGTTCTCAGTGAAGTTTGGTTCTCAGCTGAACAGTTGCCCTATGATTTCCCCCACCACTCCCAAATTGATGGAAAGAATCCCGAGAAGGCGTTCCAAATACAATGTCTTGCACTACAGTAGTCAGCTGCTATGGATGATTTAGCTTCTCCAGATGACAATGCTGACATTTAGAATAGCGTTTTCAATTCCACTGAAAAGCTTGACAATGGAGCTTCCAATTGCGGCTTATAAAACACACACACATAGATTCTGAATCAACAGAACAAAATTTTCGTGAGAACGTGAAATTAAATACTTTTACCCCAATGTGATACAATAAAACTCATGTTGCACTTTTTCTCGTTGGCATAATATCTAACAAAATGCCACCGCATTTATCTGATATAGGCATGATTTAATTAAACTTACAAAATTGTAATAGATCTGTTTCATTGTGTATCACATTGAGGTAAAAATGATTGTTTTTATGTTCTCACGATAAACAGTATTCTCATTGGAACTGCACCCACAAGGTTACATTCCGGTAAAAACACTTCTTCCTGTGGTAAATCAGAACGATTTGAAACAGTGCATAGTATGATTCATGTCATTGTGCAATTATGATCAAGATAAAACATTGTTCAGATGACATAAAAAGATAAATTTATTTACAAAAATGCTACCGAGTTTTTATCATGCTCGTTTATGTTTCACATAATAAAATTACAAGACAAAGTTTTACAATTTTTACCTCAAAGATAAAGTTTCAGATTTATTCTCATTTTTCTCTTTAGATTGATTGTTAGTTACGTCAGAATATTACTAGCGTTTTATAAATACAAGACAGAACTAACAATTTAGAGAGAGGGGCGAATTGCATTAATGAAAGTTCGAATCTTTAAATATGCCCAAAGAGGACTATTTATATTAGGGGAGCATGCGTGTTGAGGCCTTCTAGAGCAATCTGGTGTGCATTTTGACTATTCTTTGGGCAAGGACAAGGGGATTGTTTTTTTTTTTTTTTTTTTTTGAGTCAGGGATAGTCGAGAGAGAGTTCGGAGTAGCCAGGGGCAGCATCCAGGGGTATATTGATTGTTTAGGACACGTGTCATATTGTGAGGTTTAGAGGGGGTATTCTGGTTGGTTGGCCATTGGTGTGTAATGATGGCTTTGCCGATCAGATGAGGTAATCCCGAGGTCACCATGGTTGGGTTGCTTATAAATACCCCGGTTGACTTTAATTCACCCTTACAGTTTCTTGTTCTTGATGCAAAGCTCTGCTCATTTTTAGATAGATAAGTGATAACTGAGGATCTAACAAGTTTTAGCAAGTTTTCTAAGGTGAGTTCTTCGCTCGTCCTTTGTTCTTTTCTCAAACTTTGCCTTCGGTAGCTTTAATTTAGTGTTAGGGAAAATCTTCAGGTTCTCCACTTCTCCTTAGATTCCAACCATTAACCTCTTGAACGTGTCGAAAATGTCATCTGAGGCTGGTTATCAATACATAATGAGGACACCCCCTTGTCAGATTGGGACGTGCCCGAAAAGTGGATTGAAGAGAAGACACCCGAACCGGAGGCCTCACCAAGGGACCTTGAAAAAGGTTGTCGAGGAGGAAAATGTCGAGGGCAGCGGAGTTCTGTAGATTCTCGAGAGTAGGGGGTTTCTTCCTTTTTCTTGAATGAAATGTAAATATATATTAGCACCCAGAAAAGTAACATTTACAATGTGACAAGAAATCAAAAAAGTCTAAAGCCCCCCCACCCCCACCGATTTCATATGAGAAGGAGAGGGTTGGAAGTAGTGGTGGACCGGGCCTGGTTCGGTTCCGGTTCAGGCCTAGGCCCGGCCGGGCCTGGAAGGTTTTGGGTAAGGCCCGAAACCGGCCCGGTTATCCACCGGGTCCGGGCCGGTTTTCCAACGGGTCCGGGCCGGTCCGGTTTTTTTTTTTTTTTGCTTTTCTAATTAACCCCCGACCCCCCCTCACCCCCACTAAAACACCCAGCCCAACCCAGGAAAAACAAAAACAAATGAAAAAAAAGGGCCGAACCAGGCCCGGCCCGACCGGTTCCTATTTTGGATGAACCGAGCCTGCCCTATGTAACCCCCGGGTTGGGCCTACCCGGACCGGTTCCAAACAGTGTCGGGCCGGGCCAGTTCCAAACAGTGTCGGGCCGGGCCACAGGCCGGTCGGCCCGGAACCGGTCCATCACTAGTTGGAAGAGGCTTTTATTCTAGTCTAAGTTCACACTTGCCAAGTGTAAATGTAATCGGCCCAAAAGTCGAAAAAAATAAAGATGGTGCTCCAAGGTGCACACACACAATCAAGCTCATAAGTCACTGTCATGGCCCCCGAAAAGCTTTTTGGCTCCACTCAAAAATTGATCAAGTCATATGGGTAGATATTATAGAGTATCTTGTTTACCACATGTTTGATTTTGGCTATAACATCCTCTTCGGTCTTCTTGCCATCATCCAAGCGGTTCTCGTTCCTTGCATGCCATATGAGTACAGCGCGGCACAAAGTGCAAGTCGGGCAACCTTTGCTCTCATCGTTGATCCTTTATGTTCCTTAGTGATCCATTTGATTGAGCTAAGCAATGTAGACATTTGATGTAACACCCCGGCTCCGCAGGACCCGAGGTAGTTACTCCAGACCTCTAGTACGTCCTCACAAACCGCCACGAGTCTTTGCTGCGCACTTTGTTCTCACTCATGCGTGCCCTGAGAAACTTCCCAGGGATCACCCATCCCAAGACTACTCCCTTTCAAGCACGCTTAACTTTGGAGTTCTTGGGTGATGAGCTCCTTTAAAAGGAGATGCATCTCTGTTGGTATGAGTAGTACTATTAATCCTCTTAAATTAATCTCGGGTATTACAATCATCCCCCACTTAGGATCGCAACGTCCTCGTCCAAGACTACTCCCTTTCAAGCACGCTTAACTTTGGAGTTCTTGGGTGATGAGCTCCTTTAAAAGGAGATTCATCTCTGTTGGTATGAGTAGTACTATTAATCCTCTTAAATGAATCTCGGGTATTACAATCACCCCCCACTTAGGATCGCAACGTCCTCGTTGCGCCCTTAAACCAATCTCAATCAAACCCCAGAATCTTTTTCCTCTACTAAGTGTCTGCCCGATATCCAATTGATTAGCACACTGTCGCAGGGTTGCTCTGATACCACATGTGACACACCGGCCCCGCAGGACCCGAGTTAGTTACTCCAGACCTCTAGTACTGTCCTCACAAACCACCACGAGCCTTTGCTGCGCACTTTGTTCTCACTCATGCGTGCCCTGAGAAACTTCTCAGGGATCACCCATCCCAAGACTACTCCCTTTCAAGCACGCTTAACTTTGGAGTTCTTGGGTGATGAGCTCCTTTAAAAGGAGATGCATCTCTGTTGGTATGAGTAGTACTATTAATCCTCTTAAATTAATCTCGGGTATTACAATCACCCCCCACTTAGGATCGCAACGTCCTCGTTGCGCCCTTAAACCAATCTCAATCAAACCCCAGAATCTTTCCCCCTACTAAGTGTCTGCCCGATATCCAATGGATTAGCACACTGTCGCAGGGTCGCTCTGATACCACCTGTGACACCCCGGCCCCGCAGGACCCGAGGTAGTTACTCCAGACCTCTAGTACTGTTCTCACAAACCACCACGAGTCTTTACCGCGCACTTTGTCCTCACTCATGCGCGCCTGGAGAAACTTCCCAGGGGTCACCCATCCCAAGACTACTCCCGTTCAAGCACACTTAACTTTGGAGTTCTTGGGTGATGAGCTCCCTTAAAAGGAGATGCACCTCTATTGGTATGAGTAGTACTATTAATCCTCTTAAATTAATCTCGGGTATTACATTTGATGCCCAAATCCCATCCAGTCTAGAATCTTTTCCCATACCCTACAAGTAAATGGACATAGGAAAAATTGGTGTGGAATTGTTTCCAATCCACCCTTGCACAAGTCACATCTATTAACAATGATAAGGTAACCGAGGCTATCTTGTGTAGGCAGCCGGTTCCTCAAAGCCAGCCAAACATTAAAAGAAAATTTTGGGGATATATAGGATTTCCAAATGAAACTCATTGGAGTCTTAGGGGTCCCTTTAACTCTAAGAAGCTTGTAGACCTTGCCCGAGGCAAGTTTCCCATTAGTTTCTAGCCTTTGGTATCATTCAAATTATTAAAGCAACCTCGAATTTTATCACGAATTTGGCCCAACCTCTTTATAAACTGTGAGTCACGGCTGTGCGAGATGAATACCCACACACTTCTCCCTCGGAGATATATGCCATTGACCCACCGGACCCATAAGGTATCCTTTTTGCTATGAACATCCCATAGTGTGCAAGAAAGGAGGCTATTGTTCCATATTCTAGCATTATGGATGCCTTAGCCGCATTCCTCTTTTGGGAGACATACCTCATCCCAAGCCACCTTAGCGAACTAGCCACCCCACAACAAAATTCTACAAATTGACACTATCCTATCCAATATACTTTGGGGCACCGGGAAGACTTGGAGTCAAAATGATTGGACCCCTTGGATCACCGATCGAATCAGCTCTATCTTACCGGCATAGGATATCATTTTAGTATTCCAAGTGTTTAAGAAGACTTTGACCGTGTCTAATAAAGGTGCGCATTATGCAACTGATATTTTTTAGAGGGGCAAGGGGTATTCCAAGGTATCTAACCGGAAACTTTCCTTTCCCAAAGTCAACTAGGTTCAAAATGTTTTGCAATTCAAGGTCCTTCACCACTCCCACGAAAATATTAGATTTCCCATGGTTTACTCTTAGGCTCGATACGTCTCCAAACCCTTTGAGAGCATTGACCAATATTTCTATGGAATATATGTGTCACCTCTCAAAAAGAGCATTAGATCATCCGTGTAGGCGAAATGGGTAATACCCAAAGGAGAGCATTGAGGGTGAAAATTAAAAGTTCACCCTTTGGTTCCCATAGTAACTAGGAAAAATATGCGAGGCACAATACAAATAACAATGGGGACACTGGATCCCCTTGCCGTATGCCCCTCCTACCATTAAAAAATCCATACAAAGATCCATTTAAGGAACCCGAGAAGGAGGCAGTTGATACACACTCCATAATCCATGCAATAAATTTAGGAGGGAAGCCCAAACCCCCTAAGACTTTTTCAAGAAAGTCTTACACATTGTTCTAAAAATCGCTAGGTGCTAGTCGGGCGGATGAGGGGCGCCTAGCGCCTAGGCGGCCGACTAGGCCAATTTTTGGGCGCCTAGACCGATTTTTTGGCCGACTATGGCAATTAGTGCTCTATAGTTACGGTTGACTAGGCCGACTAAACCGATTAATCGGTCTGACTAGGCCGATTTTTAGAACAGTGGTCCCACGATGTTGTATCATAAGCCTTATGCAAGTCCACCATAATCATGCATCTTGGTGAAATTCACTTCCTATTGTATCCTCTAACAAGTTCCTAGGCTAGGAAAATGTTGTCAAACATTAGGCGGCCGTCGACAAAAGCACCTTGGGCTTGATTGACCAACCCCGAAATGCATGGGGTTAATCTAGCCGCAATTATTTTCGTAATAATTTTATATAAAACATTCGTGCAAGATATGGGTCGGTAGTCCGAAACT